AGAAAAAAATTAATTAATTTTAAGTGCCAACTTGGGAAAATAATGGCTCTTACTTGGGACATAAAGTGTTCTATAATGGAATGAAATTCTTTTTGTCATTTCATGTATTTTTTAAGAAAAGCCAAATGAAAATATTTACATGTCAGTTTGTGCTTACTTGCTCTTTTCCGTACAGTAACAAAGAACCAAAACAGTAAGTTTGATAGTAAGTTCAAAATAAATCCAGAAAATAAGAAGCATCTCAACAATGTGTGCAAGTTTATTTTAAACAGATATAATACCCCAATAATTTAATAATGTTATGATTGGTTTAGTGCACTTCCCAAAATAAAACATGTTGACGTTACAGATTGTATGTTACAGCAATTACTCATGTCTATTGCTACTAAGTGCTATCTCTTACAGTGTATTTGATTACATATAATAAATTGCCTTATACTAAATTTCAGTATCCTCTCTAAGCTTAAAATCATCAAGGTCCAGTGTCATGATTCAGTGTCATCGTTCGTGCTTTTCTGACAGTCTTAATTTCAGTATTAACCTCAATAATATCTGAAGGCCATAACAGGAATTGCAATGTATACTGTAGCTCTGGTTAATACTTTCCATGTAAGTCTTAATAGTATTGGAGATCTACACACATAAACATATGAGTCATTGTGGTCATTAGGATTCAGATAATTGATTTAGGAGTAGGGAGTCCTAGTCTTTTCATAGGCATGGAAGCTGGTTGTGTAATTTTGGGCCAGCCACGCTTTCTCTTCTGACTGGAAAGTTGAAAAACATCCATCTACCAACGTGCTGGACTAAGAGGCTTTCATTCTTCAGTAGACTAAGAGAAAGAGAACCTCACTTCAGCACTAAAACTAAAATGCTTAATTAACAGATCACCGAGAAAAGCTCAAATCATATTACAAAATAATCAGGTTGTTTTGCATGTTGTCTTGTAAGAGACTTGCCTTTTCATAAGCTGGCAATTGAAGGTAGTTTTATAATACAAGGTCCTAACCAAAAAAAAATGTTTCTTTGATTAGTCAAATTTCCATTCTGAGTAACGGAAGATTTAAAATAGTTTTGCTTTTCTGTTATATATAAATATCCCCAATAGAGATGCAACTAGGTACAGTAAATCTTTCTTAGCCAAAGATCCATGTTCAATTGACTTTGGATATCATTCTCTATTTCTCTTTCCCTTTTCCTCAAGATTTAGAGTATGTATGTATGTATGTATGTATGTATGTATGTATGCATGCATGCATGGTAGCTAGCTAGTCAGCTTATTTGTTAGCTTGCCTTAGGCATTCAGTGATGATTCTGGGATGAATGTAAACTTCTAAGTTCTGAAGAAATGGATGGGGTTCTCTTTGACATCTACCATATGTAGACTGAATCCCTAGCATTAATGGTAAGTAAAAGTGACCAGATAACTGATTTGGGGCTGGGTTGAGGTACAGTCATGATAAATGTATATTTGCTGTGGTTCTTTTCCTTCCTAAAGGAAGTGGTAGGAAAGAGAGATTGTTGTGTATGTGGGCAAGTCTTTTTATGTAATACTGATTTTTACTGAAGTGCCATAACCATTCTCAGCCAGGACTATTCCAAATAGTATCAGATTTATATTTAAACTTCTATATTGGATAAAGTCTTTTAAAATACAGACACAATAGGTAGATTTTTCATAGATTTTTCTCTAGATTCAGCTACCTGCTAGAAATACATGTATGGAAAAGCATACCAATTAAATAGTACTATTGAATCTGATATTAGGTGTAATTTGGGAGGATCTGTCATAATTTTGAACAGTTGCTAAGTGGCACTCATAAGTTAAGGGTAACCTGTACTGGTCTCATGTTTTTATTACCCTGTGCTATCCTTTTTCCCATGCAGTAATCAGAGGTCAAGAGTAAGTGCTCATTAACATAGAAAAAGCTTAGTAATGTATGAATTGTTTCCTTTCTCCTTCTGATGGCTTTCAGTACAGGGAGAATTATCTGACATTCCTTACATAGAAATATGAAATGGTTGTTCACTTACACAGCTATTATTGAAAAGGGGGAAGTGTCTAAAACTGGTAACTGTGATGCTTTAATAGATGAAATCCTTTGGAAACCTGTAGGGAAGTAAATTCCATTAAAATTGGCAAGACAACTTGTAATTAAGAAATTTAGAACTAGCTGTGTTGTGTACTAAAGTTGTACTTACAACTTGGTGTAATAACATTAAGCTCTTTGGAAACATGTTGATATGCATGATTAGCAATTACCTTTTATGAATAATTGCCTTTTCCTGCTTTTAAAACTGATCAACCCTATCCTTCAGTGTGCGTGTTTTCGTATAACATACATATGTTTTAGGAAAAAACTACTTTTTAACACTGAAATGTCAAAATGAAAAGAACCGATAAATGGAAAATTATCAAATAAAAGTTTTATTGTATTAAAATCAAACATTATAATTTATCAGATTTATCTCTTGCTTTCCCACATGAAGATAATTTCCCATACAGGGCATTCCTCCCATTTTTCCTCATAACCATCTTGTGAAAGGGGTTGAGTTGAGAGTGTGATTGGACCAAGGTCATTCAGTGGCCTTGAACTCAGTCTCTCCACTACTGGTCTAGCACCAGACCCACTACAGCAGGGGTGTCAAACTCAATTTCATTGAGGGCCACATCAGCATTGTGGTTGCCCTCGGGGGGGGGGTGACCACGGTGGGTGCAGCCTACTGGGTGGGTGTGGATGGAGTGGGTGTGGCCTACTGGGTGGGCATGGCCAGCTCTACATCGTTTGCGTTGAGGGTGCCTGTGGGGGCCTGGGAAGGAGTGGGACAGGTCTGAGGGTCTCTGGCAGAAGGGGGTGGGACCGGGGCAAGCGCCAAGGCATGGTCCATTTCTTCATTCCTCACAAAGGGTGACACCTCTCCAGCATGCACCTAGGGGGCGGGACCGACGTGGCAGGGGCTGGTTCCTCGCTGTTTCCAGACGGCCTTGTGGAGCTAAGACTGAATGCGTTTCAGCATAGATGGCCACCACAAAATTGTACATTGGCTCCCGGCCGGCCTGGGTCAGGGCCAAGGCAGAGGGGGCCATTCCCTCACTGTTTCCAGGATGGCTTCGTGGGCCACATGAAACCACTTCGCGGGCCGCATCCAGCCTTGTGTTTGACATGTCTGCACTACAGTAAGCTAGTCTAATTCATACATTTTGAAACCAGATGGTGACTTTTCCCAACCATGCCAATATAGTACAAAATAGTTCTATACAAACAGAAGCACTTTCTATTTTTTTTAATGCTGTTTCTATAGTGCCTTCTCATGAGTGGCTTTTCAAAACGCATGAACAGCTAAATATGAAGAAAAACAAGAAAAAAGGTCTATAAGATATAATGGTTTATGTACAAAGAGCAAATGCAAATTTAAAGCTCCAGTAATCTCCAGGCCTGTTCTCTTTGTGATTGATAGCTACCGATAGTGTTGGTATGAAACCTGTATGGAAAAATGATGTAGTCTTGCTCTTTCTACTGAATATATAGGCTACTTAATCCTTATGGAGGCCCATGCAATGGTAAAGCATTCATTCATGCTCCTGAATTTTAGCACCCAGTGTTAGACTGCTTCAAGCCTTCTGTTGTATTTACACAGTTTAACCCTAAAAATAGATGGCCCTATTCTAAAGGTTGTTGTAATATTCTTCTGATTTCATTAACCTCCTTACCCTTGGAGACTTTGCCCCAATGGCTCTAGGGAGACAGATATAAGGTGTTCCATACTGTATATGGTATCCTGAGATGTGTTTTTTCCTTCCCACTTATGTCTAAACTTAAGTGTCGTACAGATAAATGTTATGAGAATTCTTAATTCACATTCTAGGTTGCCAAATACCTTTATTGAGTTATACAAGCACACAAAACATTTGAGTTAGATGTGTTGCTCTTTTGTTTTATGATAATTTCTTGGTAATGAGTTTTCTGAAGCAATCTTATTTTTTTTCTCTTTTTTTAAGAGAAAGAAATAATAAATAATAAAAGCTGTGCCGGTTAAAGACAATTAGAAAGTAAATTTCAAGTTTCCAGTCTTTGCTATTCGTAAGCTACTAAGCGATCAGTAATTTAGAAAAGTATACATTTTCATAAAGGAAACAAAACATTTCATTACTTCCGTTCAAAATAGTCTGTCTTAAAAATGTGCCTCTAACATGCAAACTGAAATGTGAAATCATTTATGGGTCCCCATGCATATATAGGTAGTCCTCACCAACAGGAATTGGGACTGGTAGTATAACAATCAGTGGAACGCCTTGCCTTCAGATGTTGTGGATGCTCCATCACTGGAGGTTTTTAAGAAGAGACTGGACAGCCACTTGTCTGAAATGGTACATGGTCTCCTGCTTGAGAAGGGGTTGGATTAGAAGACCTCCAAGGTCCCTTCCACCTCTGATATTTTGTTATTCAGTCATAAGATGTGTGGTGTCATGACTTCACTGACTGACAGCATTAATTCCAGTAGTTCCAGTGTTGTTGTCATTTAGATCAGGGGTGTCAAACTGTCGGCCCGTGGGCCGGTTTCATCATTACCGGAGCCGCGCCCACCCCATTGCTGGCAACGGCAAAAAAGCTCTGATACATTGCATGACGTCGCGAGTTTGACATGTCTGATTTAGATGAATCCCAGGTGGTCATGTCCCACAGTCATGTGATCACCATTTGTAACTACCTACTGGCTTCCCCACTAACTTTAATTGTTAGATGCTGGTAGCAAAGGTCACAGCTGGTGATTACATGATTGTGGCATGCTGCAACATAATTATGAGCCAGTTGCAGTGCCTGAATCATGATCACATGATCACAGAGATGCTGGAATGGTTGTAAATTTGAGGACTGGTCATAAAACTACCATGAGGATGCTGTGATGGTCACAACTACAAGGATCCATGGGTAAGTACCCCTCGTTCAGTGTTGTAATTTCAAATGGTCACTGAACAAGTGGACATTAAGCAAGGATTACCTTATTATATTAGAACCAGTTTAATTTTTACGCTTGCAGATACTATTTCACAAAAATACTTAACCTTTTAAGGATTGAGTTTTAATGTATTTAGTAGTTTAAGTTCCAATAACACAAAACAGATATTAGATGGTTTCACTAGCAATAAAAAAAACTGAACTTCACTGGGAAACCAATGTTGCTAAAACAGTAACTGCATATACAATGTTTGGATCTCATAAGTCTTTATTAATAAAGGAATGGTTATATCCAAAGATAAATGGCATATTTGCTTGAATTTGTGTGTGCTGATAAGATAAACAATGTGCTGTAAATTGGCAAGGCATCTCCATTGTTTGTGGTAGAATTGGCAGGCCATCAAAGGCAGCATTGAGCATATAATTACTGTGAAATTTGCAGTTTGTTTGAAGGCCTGGGAAATAGCATCCATCTCTAAGAATAGGCCTTCTTACAAAATTTAGTGAAAAGCTCATTAAAGAATTTTTACCAAGATTGGACGAGTTTTCTTAGCTTTTAAACTATACAGAAGGAATACAATTTGTGCCATTACATATTTGCATAAAAAGCTATGGCAAGTGTATTATTTACATTGAGATTAACTGGTTGTACAGATTGTAAAGTTTAAATTAGATGCAAGAAACTGTATCTAGATGTGCACCTGCCTGGTACACTGAGCAATCCTTAGCTGGTATTTGCTGGAGAGATAGATTTACAGGAAGGGTTTTTTTTAACCTTTTAAGTAGGATCAGACAGTTGTAGAATCTTGCAGCCAAGCTTGATATATTCTTAAGACCTGTGGATTGTTTTTTTTTTTTAAAAAAAAATATATGATTAAAATAACAGGAAATAGCACCAATGTTACAGTTTACCATTGCCAATTACCATTAAAAGATACAACATACAAACACACACAAACCATTGGAAAATAAAATATCCTGTTTTCCTTGATGTGCCAGGAACCATTTATTACAATACAAATGCTCACTACTATTTTAGTTTATTATTTAAAATGGGAGCATAGCCAAATGTCTTAATAATCAAGAAAATAAAGAGGATGATGTTTAACACAATAGTTATTTTCATGCTGATTATTTGATCTATGTTGTCCAAATAAAAATACTCTTAATTGCTGTGGTAACAGACAACTTCTAGCTACCAAGAACCAATAATAATACTTAAGTGTTCGAAGGTTTGGATTCGGAAACATGTATTATGGTTTACTATAATAATACAAATGAGTTTATGTCTCTTCAGCAAATTTCCCTTTTTGCAATAAATGGAGGTTATTTTCTATTTTCTAATTATGCACTCTGCTAAGAAAAACTCAAGGATTATGAGATACAGTGAGAACATGCATTCCTACTACTACTACTGCAGCTGCTGCTGTTGGGGGCCAGAGTCAACTGTCAGCCAGTCAATAACTCATAATCTACTGGAATTCTCCTTTATTGTTATTAGGTAGTGGTACTTAAAAGTTTATGAACCCTTTTGAATTTTCTGATAGTAACGGGAAATATAATCGTATTAACAAACTGTTAATCAATCTTCCTCTGTGGAGTTCATTCCTGTTTGTAGAAATGTCCCCGATGGAAAAGGGGATGCATAAGCCATTCAGCAGATGCTCCACTTGACTCCACCAGGACCCTGCTTTATCTAGGATTCTTATTGGTGAACTCACATCTACTATTCTCATGCTCGGTGTATGAAGAAAGCTGAACATTAACGAGAAGAGAGATTTCATCTGTTGGCTTAAATAGTAACACTGAACACTCTACTCTGCACTACCTGAGCAAGATGAGAAGATGCTCACTTTTTGGCAATCAATGCTCATATCTAACTAGATCCCAGCAACTACTTCTATGTACCAGCATCCTGAGCAAGACTATTCTCTGGAACAGGTTACGTAGTGACACTCCATGACTTAGTAGCAGAGTCAACTCATGCTTCCTGAGACAATATTGCCTCTATGGATCTGTACTGGGACTGAGGGCTAGCTGCTTTTTCATTGGTAGATCTCTAGCAGCCACTTGCCTTCTGCCTACCTCTCAAAACCAAGAGGAATGCTGTCTCCTAGACATTAACTCATCTGGGTTATACTCATAGCAGGTTATCGACTCACCTGAGAAAGTCATATCTCCGCTTCATGTTAGGAATATGGAAAATGCTCTGACATCAGATAGTACTTTCAATAAAATACATTTGTGGTGAGTGAATTTAAAAAAATAAACCCTGGCTTTTTCATGTTTAAACTTTCTGACCATTTTAAGTGCCGTGTTCTGGGTTGTTATACTATCATTTATGTGCAAGTTTCTTTTTCCAAACTGTTCCCCATGTAGCTAGTATAGCAGTCATTCCTGCTACTACTGGTTTAATGCTGAATGGAATAAGGGGAGGAGAGTGTTGGAAGGAAAGCAACAGATAAATACATGGCCAAATGGAATAAGACTGCTACAGGCGTGCTGGACTTCTTGGGAAAACACTTTGGTCTTTAAAAAAAAAAAATTCGGCATCAAAAGTACATATGGATGAACAAGTTACATTGTTCATAAGCATACATTCTTGCTTATGTGCTCTGCCACATTTTGCAGACAAATAATGCAAAAAGTGTGTTTGTGTGTTCATACATGCATTACTGTGCTTTGCACAGTTACTAATGCTGTCTTGGTTTGTTTGTTGAGCTTTGGGGTACACCCCCATTCTCTGTAGCATCTGGCATTCTACTAAAGCTGGGCTTCCGGGTATTTTTAAGATTGCCAAGTCTCTCTCAGCTTATTGAGTGTTTAGGATGCACTTTGTGCATGCTCTTGTGCTGTACTGTTGAGTTTTCAGATTGTGTTTCAAAATGCCAAGGATGAAGAAACTATATTGCTTTCTCACTGGCAGCAAATAACCTGCTTTTGTTCTGTACTGCACTAAGTTTTGTTGCTCAACTTCTGCTGATTCAGCTCCAAACATGTATGCTTCTTTCATCCCTTAAGCAGTTCAGAGTGCATTTTTCTTCCTAGCTGAACAATCTAAGACAGCACTATTTGTTGTTTTTCTTACTGCTGTACTCTTCAATAAAGTTATATTTATTAATATAAGTGTTACAAGCATCAGGGCTGCAGTGCAAACTGCAGTCCACTTGCTCTGATGATGCAACGTAGCAAACTAGGGAGTAACATTTATTTCATAGAATAAGAGGGTGAGTAGGCCACTATGCAACTCAGAATCATTCACTTTTCAGTGATGCTGAAGCACAGGGCTGCCATCTTAAATTCCAATATAAATCAGCCTGGAATGATACAATACTGATTCTATATTATATGTAAATTTTGTTTGACGATAAGATGACCATGGTCTTGAAAATACTATATACTTAAATGACTTAATAAGGAATAAACAACATTCAACTTGATGAACATTACTTCATGAAAATTTGTTCTAACTAGCACTGGTCCAGCACAAAATGATTTTACAAAATTGCAAAAGCAAACTAAAATATACTCTGGAATATGTTCTGAAATATGACCATCTGATCAAGGCTGAATGAAATGCATTTCTAAAAACAAATACCAAACTGTACATTCCCTCTGAATAATGCAAGGATGGAATTACAACCTGTGAATATACAATTGGATTAAATAATGCTTTTTTGATTATATCATATCTGAAACAGTACAAATTGGTGCCATTTGGGAATCACCAACTTGCAGAGAAAATAATTATGATCACATTTGAGTTATTTTTCCATTGACTAATTCAACCAAGTGAACACTTTTGAAACATTTTTTTCTAAATAATATTACATTACAAATTTAATGCTATCAGAGCTCTATAATTCTTGCAAAAATTCCCGTTACACGATTTTCTATATTATACTTTAGAAGCATTAATGTCTCCTCACCTTAGCCAATGAGAGATTTCAGGAATGCAAAGCTATTGTCAGGTTGGAGATTCTCTGCAAAACAAGAACAACTTACTCTTAACATGGTGTTTTAACACACTCAAGTTTCAATTCTTCTCACTTATTAATGAGCTATAATAGAGTACAACCTACGACTAAATTCAAATAAATGTGAAGGCTGAAGATTTTTCAGCTGAACAGTATTGGCCAGAATGGATATTTACTTTTAGAGGATTATTGGTGTCTTATAATTATGAAACTGGATGAACAAAAATAACCAAAACCCCAAAATCCAATACACTCCCAAAGTTACTCCCATTCCATTTCCATTGCATTAGTCATTTTGTCCTGCTTTTTATTACAGAGAAAGGGAGCTCTTTTGTTAAAACTTTTTTTTTTGCACTCCCCCCCTTTTTTTCCTCTCACAAGTAGGAAGATAGAGGTAACATGGGACCTTCAACTTCAAGTGGGATTTGTAACTATTGGGTGAAATCAATAAGAATCTCATCCATATCACAAGAGTTCACAAACTCTCTAAAAGTTTATTCTGGATTTTTGCTTTGATTTTTGCAAGTGCATGCAAAGTTTGAGCATTTTAAGCCACGTGCAACTCCAAAGTGGATAAGGAAAGCAGAAACGGGGAAAAAAATGGTCACTTGACTGCTGATATAAAACCTCTCTTTTCTTAAACGTGCCAGGATAATTTTTCTCCATAACCCTCAACCACAGTTAAAATCTTTAGACTATTCATTATGGTTCTTTTTATAGTATTTTTATTTAATAAAACCTATTAAGACTACCATACAAATCTCTTTACTTATGCTTTTATCTTTTAACTGATCAATTTTTATATTGCTGACATCTCCTCTTCACCATTTGCTCATTTAAAAATTCATCGTACATGAACTATGTCTCTGGAGAAAATGTCTATAAAATTTGTTACAGCTGGCAAATGTGTATGAGTCAGTGATAGCACATGACTAAATGCTTCGCGGAAAATAAAACTTGTTTCTGTAGTAAGCAGAACTGTTTAAATGTTATTTATTTTTATGTTTCAAAGAAAATATATTGTGAAGTGCTGCATTGATTTAATACGCAACATTGTCTGTGTACACGCTGTACAAGGAAAATTTATGAAACCTTTGCACAACTCCTTTAATTGAATTTTCCAAATCTCTCACCACACACAAATAATCAATATCTTCTGCAGAGAAAACCAGTCAGAATTATTACCATCTTTCTTTTCAATTTTGTTGTCATCAGCACATAAAGAGCACCTGGATATTTGTAATGTCTGGATAGCAAGTTATTTACACCTCTTTAAAAGTAATTGCTATTAATCGCCTCCGTTGTGCCTTCCCACACCCTGTTTTATTTTAAATAACCATTACATGTCTGAAAGAAAAGAAACAGGTATTCTTTTTGAGCATTTGTAGTCATGAAGGAATGCAGTACTGATAACATTTTATAATTTAAGTTTTCATTTCACTTGATATTCACATTCCTATATTATTGTAAGGTTCGCTGGGGAAAAAAGCCTGTAAGAAATAAGAGCATACAACAATTGGATCAAAGTTCATGAGGTAATCTTGAAAGGTTTGCCTATAAAAAATGCAATTTGGTAAACTAGTGTATGTTTGGATGCATTTGTATAGTTGATTTTGAATATAACTGAAGATATTCAAGTAAATATTTTTCTGTAAATGTGTATCATAGCCAACATGATAAGTAACATTTAATCTAGAAAGTACAGAACATTAATCCACACTGGAAACATTCAGTTTGCTTTCAAAATATCTAACATTACTGTAAACTATGATGCTACATACTTCAAATGTGGTATTTTAAAACTGACATCTTAACTACTGCTAGGCCAAAGATTAAAATGACCACATTTTATACAGTGAAAAAAGTGTTATATCCTACAATATTCAGAGGTCAAAAGAATAATGGAGGACTAACCATTTTTCTTCCCACTAAGTAGCATTTCTCTGCTAGACAGATTAAAATCTCACCTAAAGCAAAAAATGCCACACAAAATCAATACAGCCCAAACTTAGTTTCTTACGAAATAATTTCAAGAGTGGTTCAGACTTCAAAGGAAAGTGAAACCACAATATTGTTCTCACTTTTCTGAGGCTAAATCCTATGGAACTCTGAGTTTACCTCTGAGTAGGCATGCATGGGCCTACTTGGCCGACCTTGGTTAGATTGGGAAGTCAAGCAGATTTAGGCCAGATGAGTATTTGGGTGGGAGAACATGACCAATTGATGTAGGTAACTCTGAACAAGATGGATTAATGGTCTGTCTTGGTATATGACATTTTTTTATCTTCTCATGTGAAAATGTCATGTTAGAATAGTGCTTTTCACTATTAGCAACTTTTAAGACAAGAACACTGGCTGGGGAATTCTGGGAGTTGAAGTCCACCTACCTTAAAGCTTCCAAGGTTGATAAACAATGGTCTTTGTGGTTTATCTTGCTCTAAATATCAGGTCTAAGCACCATTTGCCTTCTACCTGTCCAATGATTCCATTCTACCTTTTTGGGATGAACAGCTGCAACCGAGGCACTATACAATTGTGGCAAATGGCAAACTGACTGGGGGAGCAAGCAAAGTCTGCTAGCTTTACATTGCTTGATCTCTTCGCGACAGAAAGCTAGATTCGATGGATTATCCAAATTAGACTAAATGCAATACAATAATACTGCAAAACTCAGAAGGCAGCTTTTGGCTTTTTTTAAAAAAAAACACTGCAAAACTCCATTGCTTTGTCTTGGAGATGGCAAACTCATTTGTAACAGATCTTTTTGTTTTCTAATCAATTGGGAATTTGCCCAGTGGATAAGCACCACTTTTTCTATCTGGCACAAGACACAAGACTCTCCCCAAGTGATCAAGTGTTATCCGGGACTCAGCAGGATAAAGGTTAATTGTGTTTGGATTTGCTCCTCCAAATGCTGAAACACAAATTCCCTTTGGAAATATGCGACACCCATCCTACACATAGACATGGCATGCTTTAGACAGCAGCAACACAACTCGATTTCATCTCCTGGCAGCTGCTCTCAAGTTTGCTTACATTGTCTTCAAAAAACATTTTGTTTACTGTAAATGCTAGTCATGGGCAAACAATGGTGCTATTTTTTATGCTGCGAACATAAAATGATATACTAAGATCTACATAATGCTGTCCATTGATGAAGGAATGCTCTGAATTAAGTTGTTTTAAGTAGAGGTTGTTTATGTAAAGTAAATAAATTTCATGCCTCACCATGTGATGATAACGTGACATTCTATCAGTTCCAAGCCAAATAACAGTCATAAGTTTTATGTCCTTAGCGTAACTAATTAAAAATAATTATAGAAAACAACATCCAAAAGTAAAAAACAAAATAAAACACTATGTTCCTTCTTCAGCTGCCCTTCCCTCCTTGCCGTTATTTTTGACACACCCAGGACAGCAAAATATATACCACTGCAGCAGTTAAAATCAATGTTGTTCAAATCTAAAAAAAATATTTTGTGTTCCACAACAAATTTTATACACCATGCTAAATCCTATGTGCTTTTGGGGGGGAGGGGAAGGAGTGTTAAATATGCCTTTAGCATTCAAAATGGAAGAAATCTTCTCAATTCAACATCTCATTAATAGCTGTTCTTGAACACTAAACAATCAATGGTTTGTCTGTGTTTGTGTTAATTGACTACTATATTGAAAGGAGGTTCAGAGGAGATTGATAAATAAACTTGGAATTTACTATCACGAGATGTTGTGCTGGATACCAGCCTGACTGGCTTCACAAAAAGGTTGGACCCATGGCTATTGGCCTAAATCATGGGTGTCAAACTCGATCACATCATGTAATGTATCGTGATGTGGTGCGGAGCCGAGGTAGGCATGGCCTGCACATGACGCATCCGGCCCGCAGGCTGCCAGTTTGACACCCCTGTCCTAAATGAAGTGTGTCATAAAGGCCATGGAAGACTAGTGGGTTTCTTTGTGCAGTTGGTTGGCCACTGTGAGAACAGCCTGCTGGACTAGATGGGCCAAGAATCCAATCCTGCTTAAATTTTTAGTTCTTTTCATTAGCTAATGGCCAGTTTTTAAAATAACGTCTGATTTCAAGACCAGAGGATTTCCATCATGTTAACATTCTTGACCTCAACTAGCAACTTTGATCTGCTTTTATTGTCATTGGATCTTCAGATTTTTCTGAAAACATAAACATTTCAATGTTAGCCATAGATGATATAATAGGTTTACTTTCCTCATAGCTATGCTATATATTAGTAAATGTTTGCTTGATTTTTTTCCCCAGGGAACAAGAGAGAAAAGAGGGGAAAAAGGACCTAGCACTATCCTCAAAGCTTGTATAGTTTCTCTTTCCACCACTCCTGACCTAAGGAATTCATAGGTTGGAACCACAGTTTGACCTAGTTTTCCGGCTGTGGTTTGAAGTCTAGCTATAAAGCTTTTATATTATGTTCTTTGTTTAGTGAAAAAGGACATATTTCTGAGTAAAGCTTCAGACTTACAATAAATATTAAGAAAATACTGAAAAACAGAAGCACATTCAGAAAAAGGAAAATTAAGAGAACACCAATAATAATAAAAATAAACGTTACAAAACAAAGTGATCCAGGTTAAATTGACACAGTAGTAGCTAGGCTTGTGATCCAACAGGTGCAAGTGGCTAAAATGACCAAGAGAAATTTCTACAGTGACTCTTAACTCAGATTTAACTAATTGCCCTTGTGTCATTCTATTCCATATCGAATAAAGACAGTACACGTCTCACTACAAATATATTTATTATTTATTAAATTTATATGCTGTCTACCTCCCTGATAAAGCAGCCCTGCGTGGCTTACAAAGAATAAAAAGATAGATTTTAAAAACAATTAAAATTTTAAAAGCTAAATCAAAACTAGAACCAAGGAAATACATGACACGGGGATGAGATCTTCTTATCCCATCAACCACCCCCAGAGGTGAGTGCCCCATTCAAGGCCCAGGCCAACCAGCAAAGCCAAGTTTTAATACCCTTC